GAATAATTTGGTATGTAGCATGAGAGTGTTGGAGTTATTCTCAGAGCTGACATTTGACCTTCTATGAAGAGCTCTGCTAGGGGAGGATATTTCTGTGCCTTTGTTTATTTATTTATTTTTGCTTCTGGCACATCTTTACAACCTCAATTTGGAGTTTGATGGGGCAAGCCTTTTTGTCTTTTTGGAGTATTTTCAGAGATGTCATCCTTGCTTTTGTCAGGGGGAGGACTTGCAACTTATTTTTCCCCCGGAGTATTTGCATGTTACCTGATGGTTTTTGCCAAAGGAGACAAGTTCAGTGAGTGCAGCGTGGCTACTAAGACGGCTGCTTTGCTGCGGGCTGGTCCTCTAAGAGCAATTCAGTAAACTCCAATAATCTACATAAGCATCCTCAAATGAACTTTGCATTTTCACGTGCCTTGCAGACAAATTACAGTAATTATTTGGGGGCTGTGGAAGTGTACAAGGGAACTGACAGGCCTCAGTAGACTCGAGTGGTTCTGCTCTGATAAATAATGTTGACGAGTTTCCCTCAGGTTTCCCATAAACCTTCATCTACGGGGCTGTCCCTAACCTTGAAAGCAGAACATGTATGAGTTTCCTACATCTTTTTGCTTTCTATTCACCCACACTACTCAGCATTTTGTGACCTCAGAGGTTTCACAAGACTTGTCAAGCTCACCATAGATGAAACAAGGAGTTCCCATGTCCTTCTCTTTTTCTGTTTCCTTCTTAACAGCTTTCCCTTGACCTCCACATTGGCTCTGCTGCAGCCCTTCTCCCACGAGCTAACTTAATGGAATAGAATAGTTAACCCCCTCCCAAACTTGGCTCAATAGTTTTCTTCTACATAAGTGAGTTAAACAGGGCCCTGGAAGGTCCAGTGAGCTGTAGAGCTTGGAGATACCAGATGGCCAGAAGTGAAAAAGAGGAGAGTTTGAAGATGGAGAAAGGTAGGAGTAGCAACAGCAGACAGAGAGGATGGGATGCAAGCCTTTGGATACTCATGAGACATTAGATTGGCTCAAAGCCTTTAAAGCTACGATTTAAGTTACCATTTGTAATTTTTCAAACAGAAGATAGCTGTGTGATTTTATGGACTTTTAAGGAATGTATTCCAAATGCTATACAGGCACCATCTTTTCATTCCAGGGGTGTTGTGCTCTCTTTAAAACCTGTGGCTTTCTGCTGATTAATTCAGCAGATGAGACAACTGAAAGATCTTTCACAGATTTGCATCTTTAGCCAAATAGCACTTTTTTTTCCCCAGAGACATCTCAACTCCGTTTCTGCAGCCTGGGAAGTAGTATCTCTTCAATTTTACTTTTTATAATGTTTGGCAGCCTGATTTCATCATATACGCAGCTAATACTGTAGTCAGCTAGAGCTGCTGTAGCAGAACTTTTTCATGTATACTAATATTTCTTTGGGCATTTCTAGACACAAATGTCCTGTTGATTTATGGCTTCACACCTTTCTGTAATACCTGAAAAGGAGTGTTGTGTATTTTGTGTAATAGGAGGCCCTGACAATGGCATGAATAGACCACTCTGATGCATTGCACTGTTCAGTTTAACTATACACGTTATGTGAAAGTTACCAGGTTTGTGCAGGTACAGCAACGAGGAGATGAGTACTGTGTTTGGTAGGGATAGTTCATTGGTGTAAAAACTTACTTGAGAGCATGGTCAGTTGTCATCTCCTGGATTCAGGTTGAAATAATTCCTTTTTCATTTCAGATAAAATTATTTCTTGCTGTACTTTAGCATTAGAAATAGTTCCTCCTATTATTTTTAAACATTTCCGAACTACTATCAATGCAAAGCTTAACAAGCTCACTGTAAAGCACATTCCCCCTTACTTTATTGCTTTTGCTGAAAATTTCACTTTTCTCATACTCGTATTTGACTGTTACCTGTCTTGCTGCCAGCAGCCTTCTGCTCATTGTTTATACACTTCTTCATTTTTTAATTCCACCAGCAATGGGGTTTGGAGGAAAAAAAAATTGGGGATTGTAGGCATGGTCCAGCAGGTTCCTAACAGCGTAAATAAAAGTGCACATAAGCAAGGCAGGAATTCTGTAGTTACATTTTTAAGTTTGCTTTGTAAAAAGTGGAACACATTGAACATATTTCATTAAGTCTGATAGTACAGTTATAGTTTCTGTGGCTGTATCCATGCAGTGGAGTATTGTGATCTTGTATGAGTCCTCTACTGTATGCAGGACTTCATGCCCCTGTTGTTTCTCGCTTGTTTTTTGTTTCCCACCCATTACTTAGGAAGCAGCTTGAATAATTCCTTTCTTTTTTTAAAAAAAAAAAAAAGCTCTAATTAAATTTCTCTTTAGTTTTTTAGAGAAGAGTCTATTTCTTGAATCAATTAAATTGAAAGTTCAAGGTAAGATTCATGTAACTGAAAAATATAAAGGGTTCTAAAAGAGAAGATGTATTTATTCATGCCACCTACCAGATTCCATGAGGTATTATTCTTATTACTATTCGTGTTCTGGAGGGATAAAGACTCTTCTAATACAGTTCTTGTGCTAACTAGATTTTTGAAGAATAATTTTTTTAGGCTTTTGTTAATGTGAGCAGGGCTTATTAAACAATATTAAAAGGAAGTGACAATATAGTAGTGGAATGCATATTTTGAGAAGCGGTTTCTTGAAAATGAGGCAAAAAATTCATGATTTCCTTACAATGGCTTTTCATTTATGGTGATTTTCATGTATGGATGTAATGAAAATTGGCTATGATTGAAAATTTAGTTCTGGCATTTCCACTTAATTGCATTTTAAAGGAAAAAATCTCAGTGTACAAAATTCTTTATTCTGTAGAGACCTGTACAACTTTAAAAAAGTTAAATGCAGGCAATGCTTATTATGAAGAATATTCAGTTTAACTTTCCCCCCCCAGCTCTAGTTGTAGTCCCAGAAGATATGGCAAAATGTTAAAGCTGTGAAATAACATTAAAATGCCATTTAATGTGTCAGGGGAAACTTTGTTTATTTTTTTTTTCCCGGATAAAAAGACTTGAATAAAAGCTTTTTCTTCTGTAGTGCTCACAGGTTTTCAAGTAGATGGAGACGGCTGTTGCTAGCAGCAGATTATACCAGATGCTGAGTTGCCTAGGGACATGTGCTTTGTTTGCTGGAGACAGGGCTTATTGTCTTGCCTTCAGGCACTAGGCTGAGTCTGTAAGACTATATAAGTAGTGATTTTTATCCTTTGAGTTAGTGGAGTGTCACATGGTGCTGTGTGACATTTTTAGGTAATACATGAAGCACGAATTTTTTTTTTTATTTATTTTTTTTTTAATTTTTCCATGGATATGTAGTAGGTTACCTCCACTGAAGTTTTGCAAAACCCTTAAATATTTACCACTGAAGGAAAAGAGGGATTGCAGACTTTGGAGACATGTTGCTGCCTAAGAAATGTTCCATGACTAAGAAGTATACTAAATTAGCGTTTCATCATAGTTGTTTATCCACAGAAATATGAGAAAGAGATGAAATAAAATTTGCTGTTATATTATACACCTTAGCATGCAAGTAGAGGACCAGTGAGGTTCTGTATGATGGATGTTTCAGGATTTCCTGAAAGTCCACTACAACAAAATCAGATATTTTATAGAGATTTACTGCATTTATATTGGGTATAAGGTAATAGCCATAATCCATTTTCTTGTGTTTGTATAGGATATTTATTTTTTCCTGTAAAATACTTCATTTTAATGCAGCTGCTAACACGAGGTATTTGGCAACATGGCCTGTGATCTCCTTTGTTATTGCAATTTGTGTGTTGTTGTGAGATTTCATTTTGAGCTATAATTTATAAATAGATTTGATCATAAGTGGGAAGCGAAATTTGTGAGTAGTGTAACTCTGTATGGTACTAGTCTGTTTTGAGTTTGGGTTTTTTATGTTTGGGTTTTTGTTTGTTTGTTTGTTTGTTTTGTTTTGGGTTGAACTTGCCTTTGCTGAGGACCTACAGATACTCATGTAGCATCCATGTGCTTGTTGAACATCGCTTTCTCTAGTGCTTTCATCTTGGAGACAGCTCAGCCAAACCAAGCCGAAGAGTATAAAATTGTCTAAGTAATTGTGTATTTTGGATAATTTTTCTGAAAAGTGTTATGACGTGCCGTAGCCCATTCCAACATAACAGTAAACACTTCATGAATTCATACATTGCCGGAGAAAATACAGATTTGCAAGGTTCCAGTTTGACAGAAGTCTGTCAGGAGATTGTGATACAAGATGCAACTGTGAAAGATCTTTCTTGGAGCAACCCATAATATGTCAGACCTAGCAAGTCTGGTGAAATTATTCAGTGCTTCTCTTCTTTAATGTTTTGCACGTTATAATGCGGTAGGCATGTTGGGTTAATGTGCTAATGGATGATCTTCAAAGTTAACAAACATAAGCAGGTTCTGCATCTCAGTGTTTTGGATGCAACCACTAGTTCTGTTTAGGGCTTCCATTATGGCCTGATGTTCGGTGTTGAATTCAAAATGAGTCAAAAGATTGCTAAGGAAATGAACAGTGTTAACCATTTTAATCTTAGTGTTTCGGTTTCCTGCTTGATGCTAAGGTAGCATCAAAGCTAAGGAGTTATGTAAGTTAATATCCAGACAAATACTTCTCTGCCAGAGGCAAGCACTTAAGGTTTGAAAGTGTTCACTATGCCTAAATGCTTAAATGTTTTTAAGTAACTGCAAATTTTAAAGTAAATAAACATTTTAAGTAAACATCAGAAGACTGATGTAATTGGTCAGTTCTGACTGGTACTACAAAACTGTTTTGACCTAGAGGTGCCTGTCTGCGTAGGCTGTCCCTTGCATTCTGTGTAACTTTTCTTGAATCAAGGTTAGTATCTCTGCCTCATCTTTCTTGACCAGTTTCTCTGCTGTCATTGTGCCAAATAAAGGTTAACTGGGCTTTCAAAATTGTGTTTTTGTCCAGGATATGCAGTGATTATGTTCTCTGTAGAAACTCCCCAAACTGAACTGCAAGTGCTGTAGCCTGAGAGGTTCATCCAGGGCTTTTTTGTGTGTTGGTTTGTTTGGTTTCTGAGGTTCAAACATGCACAAGTTGCTTCTGATTTTGAAATGTTTTCATTGCAATTGCTTTCCTGTGTCACATGCATAATATGACTGCTTTGAAGTTGAAAATTATAATTTTCAAAAACTATTAACACGCTGTTTGTCATATTTCAGGAAAGCCCAAGAAGGGAAGAAGAAAGTCGTTGTAGCAGGCTGTGTGCCACAAGCCCAACCTCGTCAGGACTACCTGAAAGGCTTGAGTATTATAGGGGTAGGTATCTTTGTAAACTAAGAACCAAAGGCTTTCATAAATGTTTGCAGTTGGTCAATGTCAATATAGAGACTTTGTTGCCTTTCTCTTGGAAAAACAGCAGAGAAGCTCTCTGTCATCCCCACCCCCGTTAGTCTTCTTGCATTATACAACGCTTAAACCTTCCTTCATCTGGGGTGATTTGCTTTGGTTGTGGCATGAGGGGAGAAAGAAAGGGATGCTGTTGTTGGAACTGAATTCCAGTGCCCTTTGTAGCCTGAAAATTTCCAGGCTTCACCCAGGGTAAGATATCATTTACTATATTCTTAAACATATCACAGTTTATTTGCTTTAAGACAAGCCTTAAGACCTTCATTAAAATCAGTGGATGAAGTCTGGGAGACAATATAATGTAAATTACATGGACACAGCTGAGGGTGTGGTGGTTGTTTTTTTACTTCACAATATTAAGAAGAACGAACTGCAAATAGCAATGATTATTTTTAAATTTGAGGCAGTCTGAAGAGTTAAATCCACTGATAACTGGGTTGTTAACAGTTACCAAATGTTACCTTGAAGAGGTAAGCAGAGAGCTTTGACTTCCTTCAATTAGTCAGGTCCCTTCAGTGTTCTTATGCAGCACCACTGTATCATTGAATCACCTTTGTAAAATAGTAATGAAAATCAGGGAGTCAAAACATAAGTTCACGAAGATTCTTCATTGTTGAAGCCTTTAATTTTTAATTGTTTAAGCCCTTTAGTTGTAAAAGGCATGTTTGAGTTGAAGCGCTGGAGTCGGTGTGTAAGCTTTACAGTGAATCTGTCCTGTGTTGTGTCAGGTCAGAGCAGATGACTGTGCAGCCTTGTCTCTATGTTAAAAGTGTAAAGAGAGCAAGTAAAAAATGTGTTTCCACCTCAGTGTCATGAATTTCACTTGAAACGAGGGTTTTATAGGAACAACAACAAAAATGTTCCAAAAGCAGCAGGAGAGCAGTTGGTAGAACACAGAGGGTAATGATGAATGGGGAAACATCAAACTAGTGACCTGTCACTAGTGGGGTTCCACAGGGCTCCATCTCGGGCCCTGTGCTCTTCAACATCTTCATAAATGACTTGGATGCAGGACTGGAAGGGATACTAAGCAAGTTTGCAGATGACACAAAATCATGAGGAACTGCTGACTCCCTCGAAGGCAGGGAAGCCCCGCAGAGAGACCTTGACAAATGAGAGGACTGAACAATCACCAACCAAATGAAGTTCAACAAGGGAAAGTTGGGATGCACTGCACCTGGGATGGGGCAACCCTGGATGTCCATACAGACTGGGGAATGAGATGCTGGAAAGCAGTGCCGTGGAAAGGGAGCTGGGGGTTCTGGTTAGTGGCAGGTTGAATTATGAGTCAGCCGAGCCCTGGCAGCCAGGAGGGCCAACCCTGTCCTGGGGGGCATCAGGCAAAGCATCACCAGCCAGTTGAGGGAGGGGATTGTCCCGCTCTGCTCTGCACTGGTTTGGCCTCACCTTGAACATTGTGTGCAGTTTTGGTCACTGCAATACAAGAAAGACATTCAGCTGTTAGAGAGTGTCTAAAGGAGAGCAATGAAGACGGTGAAGGGCCTTGAGGGGAAGCCGTATGAGCAGTGGCTGAGGACACTTGGTCTGTTGAACCTAGAGGAGACTGAGGGGATCTCATTGCAGTCTACAACTTCCTCATGAGGGGAAGAGGAGGGGCAGGCACTGATCTCTTCTCTGTGGTGACCAGTGACAGGACCCAAGGCGATGGCCTGAAGTTGTGTCAGGGGAGGTTTAGGTTGAATATTAGAAAGATGTTCTTTACCCAGAGGGTGGTTGGGTATGAGAAAAGGCTTCCTGGGGAAGTGGTCACAGCACCAAGCCTGCCAGAGTTCAAGAAGCATTTGGATGATAGTCTCAGGCACATGGTGTGACTCTTGAGGATAGTTCTGTGCAAGGCCAGGAGTTGGACTTGATGATCCTTGTGGGTCCCTTCAACTCAGCATATTCTGTGATTCTGTGAAGCTTTCTCTTTTGTTAGAAGATCATACAAGATGTAGTTGTTCAAAGTAATTTAGAAGTAAAATAAGTTTGCTTGTAATTAGGAAGAAGATAGCTTCATTAACTGATTTATTCCAGTGCTTTATCAAGATGGACTTCATGCTATTCCAAATTTAGTTACTGCTGTTGCTCAAAATATTGTCTCTCTCATTTTTTATCCAGCTGCCACTTTCAGCTAACTTTATTTCTACAAATTAACTCAGGGCCCAGAAATTAGTTTCAGGGGATGCTGCTATTTGATATAAACTATGTTAATAGTTACAGTTTAAGGAAGAAGCAAACTTTCCACTTGATTCTGAAGTCTTACTTTATACAAATATGTGCAAGAGAACTGGGTGCTCTGTCATCTCCAAGACTGACTAATTAAGTGTAACTTACTCTGTGCTGAAGGACAGGAAAAACAAAAATTGGTGAATGGACTTCCTTTTGGCTCAGAGGCGACATAGTTTTGTGATCTATAATTGGTTGTTATAGTGAATATAGTGATATCTACACATATAAAGGCAGGAAAAAAAAAAGAAGAGTGAGTCATTATCCTTTGACCAAGACTGTAATTCGATATTTCAGTTTTGATGAATTTAACTTGGAAAAAATTGGGGGACTTGAAGCTTGATTTTTTTTTTTTTATAGGTTTTTTTAAAGTTTCCTGTCAGGTAACATACAATTTCTTAAAATTAACCTGTTTATTTTCATTTTGGTACCTAGAACCAGTGTTTAGTGAAAAATATTTGTAGTTTTGTATTTATCACAGAAAGATTTTTGTTAGGAGTTTAAGTTGTTAATGCTGTGTTTCCAAGTACTTTGTAACTAGACCTGAAAATGATGAAATGTGGTCTTGACAATAAGGACACTGTTTTCTCACTCTCAGTGCTGTGGTAAAACTTATTGTACTTTAAGTTAAAGATCTTCCATCTCAGAAAGGTCTTAAACTTGAGGCATAACTATTAACAGAAGCAAAGCTAAGAGCAGCATATAACCATGTTTTCAGTTTCTGTATTTTATATTCTGATTTTGCAAAGAGTATGTAAGAGGGGGTGACTGTAGTTAAAGGATAAAAGTTATCTTAGAGTTGCTAAATATTTTTGAAAGACAGTTTTGACAGAATTAAGAAGTAGAAAATGTTCTGTTGGCAGTAGGATATTGATTCTACTTTAAAATTTTAAGCATAAAGAGTACAGTTTTGTAAGTCTTGCTTTAATATGAGGTTGATCTCATCTTCAACTTGGCTGAGAGACATAGATGATTTATTGTTGCTTATGTAAGTTCTGATATTTTTTGTGGTTTTTTTATTTTTTAAAAAATGTAATTTATTTTAAAGAACAGTGTTGTCTGAGAATTTGGTTATTTACCAGCAATTATAACTCCCTCGGGGGTGGCCTTTTGAAGGCAAAGTGTGTCAGAGGGCTCTTCTGCTTCCCTTGTTATGACGGAGAAGGAATTTGTGATATAACTACCAGACAAATTCGAGTGAGTCAGAGTTTGTTTTGATCTGCATTTGAGAGTCACAGGACTTTGCTTCCACTGTTCTAGTTGCTTGATTTGAACAGAAATAAATGAAGGGCAAGTTCATATCCTTGTTATCATTTGTGATGTTACTGTGCTTTTCTGTGCGTGTTTTTTTTTTTTGTTGTTGTTTTGTTTTGTTTTGTTTTTGTTTGTGTTTTGTTTTTTTGGTTTTTTTTTTTTTTTTTTTTTTTTTTTTTTTTTTTTTTTTTTTTTTTTTT